TGGTTTTTGTTTTAGGTGAAACTGATCTTACTTCTCAATCATATGAGTCTGACTTGGAATATCTTGAAGATAACTTTGAAGTTTGTAATACAACAATAATACATGTACATGTACACATTACATTGATTTTACTGTACAAACAGTAACTTTGTACCGATATGATCTTAAAATTATCAATCTACTGTGTATGTTCATCTGTTACCTACAGTTCTCCTTTCCCTGTACTCTTTCCTCTATCTTTATACATACTCCTTTACTTTTCTACTGTCTTTTTTATCTAATCTTCCTTCTTCCTTTCTCTCTCTCTCTTTCTGTCTCTTTTGCCCACTAGCTGATAGAGACTCTTGTTAAGGCGAGAAAGACAGAGAACAGTGATGATATTATATTTACTAGACCAGACCAGAGGAGACCTGAAGCTATCATGAGAGAAATGAAAGCTAAAGCTAGAAGTCTTACTGCTAAGATAAATGGAAGAATGGAAGCCACTAAACAATCTGGAGGTAAAATACATATAATTCATGTACATGTACATGTAATGTGATAATTTTGTACATGTACAGTACATGTTTACTAGTAAAGGCAAAAGCAGGCTAACAGCTATGCATAATATATGCAATTATTCAAGCCACATGTAAATGTACATGTACATCAGCATTGTGTATGTACATGTACGCATACATGTGTATATACCGGAATTGAGCCTTTTATTTTTTGTTAATGTATTGTTCCTATTCTCATTCTCCAATAGATTGGTTACCTCGTTTAGAGAGGCTAGCTATATTGCGAAGCCTCGATGAGTTTGAAAAGAAGACACTGCTAACACTGACTGGGTGTATGGTATCTAGAAACTTGAGAGACTCACGTAAGCTAATGCACAAATTAGTATCATAGCTGAGTTAGCAAACCTTCTAATGGATGGACAATGCATGTAGCATGTACATTTAGTTTGTCCATTTTAGAGGTGAAGTATTCTGTGTAGAGGCAGAGGTCCATTGTGCATGTAATGTGTAGCTTCTGTCCTCCGATTACATGTATATTACATGTATTTTCATCCCTTTTTTTTCTCCTTTTCATTTTTACTGCTGTAGGTGATAGGGATTCTGTATTTTCACACAATGTGAATATTGGAATGTTGATTGGGCTGTTTTGTGAAGGATTAGGAGAACAAATAAAGGCTAGAGTGTACTTCTATCGCACATCACGTCTTGTTAAGTAAGACTACATGACCATGTACATGATTATTCTAGAAAATACATGTAGTTATTTATAATAATTTTAAATGAGTCTTACTGGTTTTAAACTTATATAAGGATCGTGTCAATTATACAGTGTATGTATTTTCATTACACAGAGAGGGCCTGATACAAATTTGTGATCCTCCTATTTTGAGTCGAGGCAATTTCCTTGACTCTGGAGTTCAGTTGGATAGACGACTCCTTGATTATATTGTTGGACTTGACACAGAGATTAATGAACTAGTTGATGGAAGTGTATGTATAATGACTACTACATATACATACATGCATGCATGTACATGTACATGTATATGACTCTTATCTGTATTACTTGTATTATAGGATCTATATTCTCCTGAAGTTACATTATCTGATGTTGCGATGCTTTCAGACCAAAGACACCTTTTACTCAACACTTTTGACTCATTTGACAAGTTTAAAAAGGTACTAGTTATGATTTAAGTTGAATTTTATTGAAATGTGATGTTTCATAAGACAAATACACTTCTGCATGTTTTAGGCTAAAATCTTCATTATTTTATACATACATGTACATTGTATAGACATGCAAAGAGCTCAAGTTAGCCACACATGGCTACAATAAAGGATTATGTTTATTGTTCTATGGACCTTCAGGAACAGGTTTGTTTGACATTGTAAAAGATAATTACATGTATGCCATGTACATGTACATGTAAATTTGTAAAATTAATGTGTATCATGTATATTTGATATTTTTAGCATTATTATGTACATGTATTTTTCATACATTACATGATTGTGTAATTATTAGGTAAGACAATGACAGCAAATGCTGTTGCAAATCATTTGAAGAAGAAGTTGCTATTAGTGACTGTATCATTACTCACTGAATCACAAATTACTAAAGTAAGAATAGAAAATTGGAAAGGAATAAGAAATGGATTCTGTCTCCATACATAAATGCACTAGATGAACTTGTACTAGTCATAATAATAATACTTTTCTTTCTCAAGGATTTGCTTAAGTTCTTGTTTCGTGAGGCCAAGATACATAATGCTGTCATCTTTTTTGATGAATGTGAGCCACTCTTTGAATCCAGAGACTCTCGTACTAACCCATGCCTTGCACTGCTACTAACAGAGGTACACATGTACACGTACATATATTTGTCAGTGGTAGCATTCTCAGTCATGTACAATTTGAAGCAACTTTACAATTTGAAGCATTATACATGTATATAAAAAAGCCAAAATTGGGTGGGAATCAGCTTAAATATCCTACACAACATACATGTAATAACATGCAAGTACATGTATAAGAACTATGTATTACAGTTTATATAAGTACACAGAGTGTTAGCCACAATCTTTCAACCCATGATAGATTTTACAAATAACATGTACTGCATATGAAGCTACAGCCTGGCTGTGAGTTATATGCCTATGCCATGCTCTTTTTATCCAACAATTTTTGAATGGGTTATTACAACCCTAAAATTATATTAATGATGAATTCTAGTGGTGGCCAAAATGAATTTGATCTGATAGTATGTATTAGAGGTGGGCGATACCAGAAATTTTAAATCGATACTGATACCAAGTAGTCTGAGTACCGTAATTTTCCTTTTTTTCGTACAAAAATTTTTCGTTTCAGAAAAATTCAAGTGGAAATATTTTCGTCTTCTCATAGTGTACGAAAATTTTTACAGTCTGAAAATTTAGCTTCTCTTGCACATACCTTGTCCTTTACCTACTGGTAACAAGGCCGCTATAGTAGTGTTTATAATTCTTGAGATAAGAGATTCTTGACCTGGCTGTTCCCCCGGACATTACTAGTATACGGATAGTACTGGAGATGCGCAATGACCAATTTACGGATAATAAACGGAAACATTAAATGGCTACTTTTGTCACATGGTGGACCGTTTTATTTTATAACTCAGTAGTGAAGCAACTGATTGAAGTACAGCAAGCACCAGTGGATAGAGCAAGGTTAGAGCTGCAAGAAGATACCTACATATCAGGCGGTACCTTAGTCTTTCTTTGATGAATTAGGTCACAAATTTTGCCGGGTTGCTCAAAAATTTTCGATTGAAATATTTTCGTCATTTTAGGACCATACGAAAATATTTCCACAACGAAAAAAAGGCAAATTACGGTATTAGCATCGATTATATTAAGTACTGAATGAGTAGTCAGCTACTGCGTATACGCAAATAAGTTATAATTAATTATTAATACAAATCAAAAGAATTAAGAGGCGATTTTTGTAATTAAGGGTGTAGTCACCATTATGACATCAAAGAAGATGTGGTTGGGTGTGGTCACTACATTACTCGATACCAAGTTTTGGTATCAAATACTTGGTATTGGAGGCCTGGTACATGAGTACTTTGGTATCATATCGCCCACCTCTAGTGTATATCAGAAAAATGTAATAATAGAGAATTGTTTTCTAGCAGTTTTGGACAAAATTTGGCCAAAAATCAAAGGCTATAGCCTTTTGTTAAATATTAACTTGTTGGCTCAATTTCTGAGCAACTTCTAAAATTCATAAAAATCTAATTTTGATTGCCAGATTTTCTACACAACATAAGAACTTGCATGTGCATAAATTTTTTTAAATTGACTCTTACCTTGTTGGGTCTTTGGTCCAATTTTTGAGCAACTTGGCAATTTAATCAACTAACAAAAAGCTAAGTTTTTCTTTTTCTGCTAAATTTTCATGTATAGGTACATGTACAGTACATGTATTTAAAGCCACTTTTAATACATCTACAGTGCATTTTATTGTTGCATAATGTGATTTAAATAGCATTATTTATAACCCATTTATTCACCTCATATCTAAACTCCCTTTGTATGTACATTTGTAGATAGAGCAGTATGAAGGTATTATATTTCTTGCTACCAACAGACATCAGGATCTTGATGAAGCTATGCACAGGAGGATACAACTAGCACTTCCTTTCACTGTACCAGACTTCACACTTAGGAAAGAGATCTGGAAATCACATGTGCATAGTAAGTAATGAGGAAAAGTGGCCAAAAATCTTATGCACATACATGTACATGTCGGTTTTGATTTTGTGTTTCTAGTTTGAGCTGATTCCAGTCTAAAATAAATTTATTATGCATTTTTTAAAGTTACTGTACTTCAAAAGCCATACACTATAGTGCAGTGTCTGTCAGCTTATGAAGTGTGCTGTTCAGCTAACTTAGCACAGCTTGTGGGAAACCCTTGCATGCACATGTATGAAGAATTTAATACAGAAATTTCCCACTCTGAAATATTAATGATCGATGCATGTATTGTACTCTAGGCCAATTGATTGGTGAAGACATTGATTGGGATAGTCTGGCACAAGATTATGAATTGACTGGAGGTTTAATTAAGAATGCTGTACTTAGTGCCATATCTGTTGCTACTAAGAAAACTAATGGAACCTCTAGCAAACTGACCCTCTCCACAGACGATTTACATAAAGGAGCTAAATTGCAATTAAAGTGAAACTTTATTATTAATTGTATTTAGTTTCTATCTTCTTTCTTCCTTGCTCACTCTTTTTCTTTTGATGTTTCTTTCCTTCCTTTTTCCCTCCATCATTTTCTTTCTCAGAGGATTATTGGAGATGGTTGATTTTGAGAGACGTGTCATTCCAACATATGGTCTAAGTGAACTAATACTTGAACCATCAACACTAAATACAATTGAATCCATTCTTAATTCAGGTACTGTATCTTTATAGCTTATACAAGTACATGTACATGTACATACATACCCTTATCTTATTGTCCAATTTTATTATCATTTCATATCAGGAAAGACTCACAAGTTTATTAGTACTCAGTGGGGATTCAATAATTCCTCAGGACATAATGTAGCAACTCCCACGGGAATCATTTGCCTTTTATCTGGAACAGCTGGAGTGGGTAAATCCTCCATTGCACATGCAATTGCATATGAGTTAGGTCAGCCAATAAAGGTAATTAAGATGATGTACATGTATGAATTTTTATTGTTTGAATCATAGGAAGCTACTTGTACTGAGTTGTTGTCACATACCGTGTCTTCAAATCCTCGTGCTGGGCGTGGTGTGGCTACCTTTTTCAGGGATGCTGCTAGGGCTAATGCTATAGTTGTGTTAGATGGGGCAGAGTTTATACTGGGATCAGTGTCAAGTGAGTGTTAATGATGTGATGGGCATATGCATGTACAATGTATGTAATAATAATAATAATGATGATAATAAAATTCAAATGATGATAATAGTATAAAATTTAATAACAGTTTTTGGGATTTTTTCATAATTAATTTTTGAATAACCTTTCTCATTCAGGTGTTCAATTAAGTGGTGTGATAGGATGTGAGACATATTCATTAGCTTATCAAATTGAGCAGTACACAGGTAATGTTTTATGATAAATTACAATGTATTAATTAAACTGTACATTTACATGTACATGTACATTTACATGTACGTGTAGGTATGACTATCCTTACCACAAGGTATGAGATTGGACTTCTTGATCTATCCCGGATTCCAAAAATGAGGTACAATGTACATTAGTTAACTTAGTCTATTGATGGTACATGTATAATTGATACAGGTACATGTATGTGGTTCCACTGTGGACTCCCAGTGTCAACCTGAGAGAAAAAATATGGAGTAAATTATTGCCTAAAAAACTACCAGTCTCATCTTCAATTGATGTAAAGAAACTAGCTGAAAGGTATGGGCTCCCTTATTATTACAAACATTATTTAATGCTTCAACTAATCACTATATACTGTGTAAGATATTGAAAGCTGCATTTTATTGTAGGTTTAGCTTCACAGGAGGTGACATTGGATCAGTTATATGTACTGCTGCTGAAATTATAGCTGGAGGAGATACTGCTAATGTTGAGTCACCTTCCTCTGTGACTACTGAACTATTGGAACAAGTTGCTGAGACTCATTTGAAGAAAATGAATCAAACAGGACACTCTATCCAGTCAATGTTTCAATAGACACAAGTTACTGTAATGAAACTAATCTTGGTAGATTATTGTGTGATTGTGTGTATGCATGAAAATGCTTATACTTTGGCTGTATTATTGATTGTTTTTATTGCTGTCTTTTTGATCTTTTTATTCACTAGGATAAGAAATTTTTTTAGTTATTAGATATTTTTAAAAGTAGCATTGATGTATTTATACTATTGCATAGTGTATGGTGTTTCCCAAAAATATTTCAGAATTTAAATTTTGAATGTGATATCACAATCAAACTTTGTGAATTATAAGGCTTATTTACACATTGGTTTGCACTTTTTTAAAATTGTACATTTTGACTGGAAGTGATGTTTGAGCTCATCAATAATCAGCATTAATCATAAGATCAAAATAATTGAAAAAGCTAGTATGAAAAATCAACATCAAAATTTAGACTTAATTTTAAGCTGGTTCTCAGTTTTGTGAACAATTCAAGTTAGTTTATATTCAAGTTTTTCTGCTTCTACTTGCATGACTATAGTCTGAAGACTGAAGAGTGCAATAAATTATTGTTTATAGAGTAATCATGTGATGCTAATGAAGTGTGCATTTCACCAACTGGTGGTTATATTAACTGGTAGAAGAGGTGGTATTGAAGACTATACAACTCAATATTCTGCCAGATAAACTGACCTCTGTTGGAGAAATAATTCAAATATTAAAAGAAGCTAAGAGGAGCTGACCTATAGTTATATTAACTTTATACTCACTTAATAACAGCAACTACTCCATGTATACATGTACATGTTGTATATGCTATATGTATCATGACATGTACATGTACTTACATGTATTACTGTATTGTTTAGTGGGTAATTTTGGAGTTAGTATATTGCATGATTCTATTATTGTATTAGTGATGTATTAGGAGGTTAATGTAGCAGCCATTGTGTTGTTGAGTAAGTGAAGAATAAAACAAACAGGCCTTTATGATTTCGGCATTATTGAATTACTAGCAACAATCGTCTACATAATTTTTCTATAATGTTATCAAAAAATACACTTTAATTTTTATGGCATTGAGGGGAAGGTAGGGGTTCTGTGAAACTATTGATTTTTGAGGGGGAGAGAGGTGTGGGCAAGAAGAGGGACAAACTTAGTTAACTTAGTCAATTGATGGTACATGCATAATGGATACAGGTATGTGGTTCCGCTGTGGACTCCCAGTGTCAACCTCAGATAAAAAATATGGAGTAAATTATTGCCTATAAAACTATACCAGTCTCATCTTCAATTGATGTAAAGAAACTAGCTAAAAGCTAGGGACTCTGTTACAATTACAAACATTATTTAATGCTTCAACTAAAGTATTCACTATGTATATACGGTATAAAGAGACAGGTTGTTTAAATGATATTGATAGGTGAATTAATTTTATTGTAGGTTTAGCTTCACAGGAGGTGACGTTGGATCAGTTATGATGTATTGCTGCCGAAATGATAGCTGGAGGAAATACTACTAATATTGAGTCACCTTCCTCTGGACTACTGAACTATTGGAACAAGTTGCTGTAAATGTAACAGAAAATATAAGAAACCACTTTTTGACAAAATAAGACCATGGTAAAAATTAATGATCTTTTTTAACAAAAAGTCATAAAAATAATATCTATTTCTTTCAAAAGGAAATATTGTGTACTGACAAAAAATATATGCTATAGACTGTCTTTATATAACCTGAGTTCAAAAGATATGTCTTTGCTTTTAGTAGTGAGCCATAATGTAGTGTATTCAGATAAAAATGCACACACTAGCTATACATTTTGTAATTGATCTAACTGTACTCATATTGTTGTTTTATTCTTATGCGATTAGGTGGGAGAGATGAAGAACATTGCCACAACTGAACAGCTTTCTCAACCACACTATGATCATTAAGACAACTAATGACAAACAACTGGCCCTCAAACCTACATGTATATATAAAATCATGCACATGCATGTATCTCATAACATGATGTACTTTATTGGCTTGAGTATATTCACGCCTGAACAATCCTTACTGTCAGGTAGTACCCTACTGCTACTCAAGTGGTATAACTCATATATTCCCTCTCTGTCCTTGATCTCAGCATCTCTCCTTATTTGACGTCTAAAGGTTTTACCAAAGTTCTTTTTATGATGCGATACCAGTTGGGTGTGGTCATTGATACCAGACCTTTACTGATACTGGACTCTCTTAAAGGCCCTTTTCTACTTGAAAGGAGTCCGCTATGTGTAATTGACGAGCAATTTGTACGGTACTATCCTTTGGACAAGTGACAATGGGATTAACTGAAAATATATACATGTATGTGAATGCACGCATTTCAAATTCCTATCCCCAATAAATCGTCAATCAGTGTAGCCACTATTATACGATAAGCTCCTCAGACACCTAAAATCAATTAATACAATTAACTCAAATGACCACTCCCATTCAATAAATTACAAGGCACACCCATTTAATGGGCTTACCGGTAACTCTGTTTGTAATAATTGTGGATAGTCAACTTGCAATAGTTCAATCATGTGCTGAGTGTCATATAAACAGATGATAGTTGACCTTTATAAAGAGGGTGTGGTTTAGTGTGACTGTGGGTGTGGCTCACGAATTGAAGGTGACCCATATCCTGTGAGGTCCCAACTCCATGTGATACACTTTACCAGCATTGTCAGGCATCACAACAGGTTTGATCAGTTCATGGGTTCTGTGGGAAAAATATTTACGAGTTGGGAAAAGTTTTAAAAATACATGGAGAAACCTGAAAAATACTAAAGGCTATAGCCCATGGTTTTTTCCAAAAATAGCTAAAAAATTACCTATAATTTTTATTACATTTTCTGATACATATTAACGTCCTTATGCTACTGTATAGAAAGTTAAGCTGATTTTGACTTAATTTTTGTTATGGCCATTTTAAGAAATTTGCCAAAATCTGAAAAATTATCTGTACTAAAGCCCTCGTGCTGTACTATTTCTTCAAAACAGCTTTAAAAATTATCCTTAAATTTTATTAAAACAATTTTGACAACTAATATTTTCTCAATTACAACTATTAACAATTATCTTTCTTACTCTGATGATATCATAGTGATTGCTTTGCCACAAGCACACCAGATATGCTCAAATGGTGTGTACTGTATATAATAGCTTCTATAGCTGTATTTCCAATATGGTATAAGAGTGGATCTAGCTCAGGAGGTGTGACTCCAGCAGTTGCTAGTACTGCAATATAACCGTTAGCTAGGGCACAGAGTAGTGATCGGTCGTAACCAACAAAATCTAAAACTGAATCGCTCATCTTCTTTGACCACAACTCTTTCCTAAATTAAAAGTGATATATAATTTAATACAAGTAATATTTATTATTTATTAATTTATTTGTGTAATGGACACTCTCTATAGCATACACCTACATTTAACATAGACCGTTCCTAGTGTACCAATTACATTCCTTAATGCATAAATAACCTCCACATAAAGGACACCTCTGCATAACAAAGCAACTTTCTTGAACCAAGTGTTTATTATATATAGGCTACATGCACTATACATCATTTCCTAGAGCATTCATTTGTTCTTATCTCTTACTTTGTTATTGCTGACACAGCATGTATAGAAGAGTCCAGAGTTCCAATCATTAATATCATTTGGTATTGCACTAATGCACAATATCTATGAGCCAACCTTTAATAATAACAATAATAATAATAATAGTAATATTAATAATAATAATATTTAGTATACACACAAATCACATGTAATATCAGTGTTAACAGACATCTCAATAAGAAATCAACACAAATCAACTGATTATACTCACATACATTTAAAGAAGGTGAATTTGTATTAAATCCATTCTCCTCTTTACTGGTAACAATACAAACTTTTCTAATCTGCCTCTCACTGCAGCAAAGCCACACCTCTCCTAAAAACAATAACCATGAATTTACTGTATACCATAAAAACGATAACCATATGACACTTACTCTCATTGACAATGCAGGCACACTCCCATTAAAATTGCTCTGGTTTTTTCATCTTGAAAGGTGTGTTTTCCTTAGTGCTGGTGGGTTGGGTTTATTAGAAGGAGCTAAAGAATTTCTCTGTTGTCCCAGTCTCTCCTGATACTCATTATAGAACTGAGCGGCAAATGACTGACACTTGCTATTAATGGTGTTTCTCCTTGGGAATGGCTCAAAATCATTAAAAGCAATCTAAAAGCACGTGAAAAGATGGTCAAAAATTGAAACAAAGCTTCTTTTGTGTGTTATGATTTACAGTATGTACAGGCAATGCATAGCTTTATTGTAACCACACTTTTTCAAAATTGCAAAGCTAGTACATGTGTACGTACATGTACATGTATATGCATCACATGTATCTCTCCTATCTCTCTCTCACTTTAAAAAGTTCCTCAACATTAAAAATGTGTTTGGCCACTTTCATGATGAATTGTAAAATAGTGATTGGATCAAACATACTCAGTATCGTCCTCTTGTACAACTTAAGAATTGACAGCGAGATCCTAAACAAAACCTTACGACCTTCAAACAGGAAAACATCAATGTCCCTTAACATAGACTGGGAGAGAGAGAGAGAGAGGGGGGGGAGGAGAAATTAATAGAATAAAATTTTTATTATTTATTTATTCATTCACTTCAGTGGGTAGTACATCAATAAATAGTGTTAGGAACCAGTTAAAAGTGACAAAAGTGACACCAACATCATTAGAGATAAGGTGCTCATTCAATAAAGGATAAAATTTCAATAAAATTTCTTCAAATTTTGAGTCACCATTTTTCTCCAAATCTGAAAAAAGACACAAAATTTTTATGAATTTTGGCCAAAAATTTGCGGATTAATTGATTACCAAATTGATTTGGTCAAATGAACACCATTTTATTTCGATGTACATGTACATGTACACGTGCTTGGTCTGCTTGTGCAGCTGGCCGTTCTTCAGAAAAATATCTGGAAGGCATTAACTTCTCAATAACTGTCGCCAAATACCTGAGACAAGAATACTAACAATAATGATTACTTATAAAAACAATGACTCATTCTCACCAAAAAGTTGTCTCTTCATCTAAGAATAACAAACCAATAGCAGCAAGCATATTCATACCCTTGAGATATGAGAGAGCTAGAAAAAGAAAGAGGAAATGGAGAGACATATTACATATGTAATTGTCAAAATATAGAACAGCTGTCCTATTGCGGTTCACAATTAGAGCTAAATATTGTCTAGCTTTTTCACAAATGGCTGCAACTAAAAAAATTAACTTGGTATGAGCTCAAACTTTCTACATTGCATAAGGACATCAATGTGAAGCAGAAAAATGTAATAAAAATTTGGGGTGTAAAAAGGATAGGCTATAGTACAGGGTATTTGTCAGATTTTGGCATATTTTTAAAAATGGCCCCAACTAGTATGCTTTTTACATAGCATATAAAAGCATCATTGTGTATCAGAGCTACCGAGCAGTATCCAATGTTCTTATTATGATTGGAAAAAGCTGTCAATACTCTTTGTAGCTTATCAGCCTAGAGAGAAGAGAGAGAACATCACAAACACTAAAAGTTCATTAGTAATACACTCACAATAGGTACTACTATAACAACCACACACCATCATCACAAATGCATTTACATGTACACATACATGTAGATATAAACATTATTTATAATAAATCCACACATACACATACACAATTACACATACATGTACAATGTACATGTACATATACACACAAAAACATTTTCTATGTGTACATTTGTACATGTACATGTACATGTACATTACATGCATACTTACTCCAGTTCCATTGATCTTAAAGTGTCTGTTGTTGGGTAGGGCCTGTGTACATGTATATCAAGACTAATTTCTTTATTAAAAGCAGATAGGCTCTCTAAACACGACTGATAATAGCTTCTGCTTTTACTGGCAGAGTTCTTAACGTCTCAGCATTTGCCAATATGATGATTGATAATACTGAGATACAAAGTAGGAGGGAGCTAGGGAGGGAGAGAAATAGGATAAGCAAAATATTAGTACTAAAGGTTACCTGCTCCAAATTTGTGATCTAGATTCCAGAGGGATCCCTTTCCTTAGATAATTACAAAACTCTCTCTTCTTTGTCCTATCAGTTGGTAACTCTTGATATTGATCAGATCCTTTCTTTAAACCATTAACATAATGATGCCACACAATGGACAACATATCCTGCTCCTATGGTAACAGACAATCAAATGATGATCATGTACCTAACTATAATATTAAATGCATGCATGTACATGTACATGCATGTAGGATAATGAGATGCATGCATGCAAACATGTGTGTAGGACATCATGTGATTGTCATGTGACATACTGCTGCTGTATAGTGAAGGTACAGTTGTCTGCATAAGAAACGGTAGATGTTGCTGTCTTCTTTCCAGTCATGTATGTCTCCAAACTGATCCTCAAAATTAGCTCCAGTCTTTATCGCAGCCAAAAAGGAATCACTGGAAGTATCCTCCTCAGATATCAGGTTAATCACTTCATCCTTCAACTATAATAATTATTAATAGTTATTAAGTACAATGCCTCATTACTTTTTCCTCAAAAGGATCCACATTGTCTATGCTTGTTAAACCAGCTGGAGCTAAAATTGTAAATAAATAAATAAATTAATAAGGAGATAAATTACTTGGCATTTGTACATGTATTTTTAAAGATGAGCTCAGTAGTGTCACATACTTATACTATGTCCCAACTGAGTTTGGACCAAGAAAAACTGGAATAACTTTTTATAGGAATGTGGGATAAGGATGAGACTTTCACAGGTTCTTAGTCGCCCAATGCCGCTTCAGGATCTCAGGTTTTGGGTCTCTCAGCCCTTGGGAACCCTGAGAACCGGGTTCTCCCTATAAACCCAATGGCATACCAAAGCTAACCGCAATGACGTTTTATGATGTCATAGTTTATATAAGCACATGTGGTCGAGCACCCAAACTGATAATTCTTCTTTTAAATGCTAATAGAGCAAGATCTTCTGATAATGATGGCCTTTATGAAGACTAGTAGGCTCCAGCAGCTATTGTACTGCTTATCAGGAAGAACAAGACTGGTTTAAGAGTGAAACAAGATAGCCAAAATATCGGCCATGTCTCTATGAATATCATTATAATTCGTCATTAGTGACGTAGCTACATTTTTCAAATTCCAATCCAGCTGCTTCCACTTCCGGTCCATTCTCAGTTGGGACATAGTATAGCCTTGAATGACATCAACTCTTTTTGCATATTGCACATTCGACTAAAAATTATAATAATAAATTTTATATTGGTGACAAAATACAATGTATAAAAAAGTTGAAATAAAATAAAAATTTTGTGTGCATACATACATGTACACAGCAAACATGTAAATAAATGTACATGTACTTGTGAACACACAAACATCTACATGTGTATTGCTATTACATAATTAATGCATGTCAACAACATGAGTGCTGTCTTTGATGTGATTTTAGGGCATAGAACTTTATTGGTAAAGGATTTGACTCTAATTGATTTTGAATCAAATTTGTTCATGTTTTGAATGCCAAGTAACTGGTCGCTTTTTGGCTCCAAATTTGTAAAATTAAAAATAGAAAAATGCATTTGTATCTGAGCAACATTAATGTGTCCATGTGAGCACTGGGATTTAATAGGTCAAATATAAAATTTTAAACTCTGTGACAACCAACTTGCAATTCACTGTATATCTCATACATTTGCTTGTATCATTACACACCCTCTCCACCCCTCACTCCCTCTCTCTCTTACTCTTTCTGTAGATCTGGTTCGCTGTTCCTTTCTTTCAGTTTCAATTTGTGTAGCTCCACTTCTCCATCTAATGATTTCAGACTCTTTTGAAGTGATTCAATGACCACTCTTAGGTTCCCATTTTCAAGAGCATAATCAAAATTAGGAGAATTACTATAGAAAGAAAGGGAGAGAGGATTAAATAGTGCCTCTCTCTTCTCTTACATTTTGTGAATGGTTTCTTTAAGTTTTTCCACTTCATCTTCAAGGTTCTTAATCTAATTCTCGTCTTTTTTGAATAACTTCTCCTGCAGTTGCATCGCTTGCTTTTTGAATTGATCCCGCTCTGATCTTGTTTTGTTCAACTCTGCCTTCAACTGTACAATACACTCATTATAATTGAATTTTAACATTATCTTAAAATTACTTCTAATATCATTCTGTCATGCTGTAATAATGCTACTGTGATCAATTCTATCTTTACCACTCTCACCAGAATCATCAGAATTACATAAACTGTAAAACAGGGCTTAATTATACATTAACATTAAACTCATCAATGCCTTTTTCCAACTGATTCCTCCTCCTCCCTCTCTCCTTGTCCCTCCCTAGTCCCATCAGTTACTGTTTGATATCAATTAGTACTATAGAAGTATAGGAAGAGACTGTCTCTGTCCTTTGTAATGGCCTATCACTTTCAAAAGGATCCTGATATCTACCAACAACAACAATAAACAAGTAAATAAACAAATGAAAACAATAAGCAACTGTTCTCACTCATTACAAGGCGACAGTTTTCCCTCCAACTGATCAATGAATATTTTTCTGACACTAACCGAGCCATTCCCAGTTGTCCTTAACAAATCCATGCCTACAATAACTAATAATTAGTTTTGTAGATTTACATGTACATGCATTAGTTTCTCCACTTATACCTAAGCTGTTTCCAAAGCTTCTATCTCCTCCTACTAGTCCACTAACTTTGTCGTAATGTCTTGGAGATATCTATACATGTAACCATGGCAATAGTTACCTAGGCAACATTAACAACTCAATATTCTTGGTAAAGTCTTCCTCATGTTACTGTATTTCTTAATCCATTCTGTACGCTTTGCCTGCAAGTACAAGTTAAATTATATCAATTATTATGAATATAATTTTTACTTGTAGATTTCTAATCCAGTCATGACAGATTTCAGCTGACTCAGCAGTCAAAGCAAAAATTTGACCAGAATGAGTTCTAAAGACACACGTACAATTAATAATTTGATAATAAATTATTATTATTAATTTTAATACTTACAATATTATAAAAGTATTTGATGTGTCCTCATTTGATTCATGTTCATAAGCAGCTGCAGGGCTCACTTTTGTATCATCCATACTTATCTCACTATAATATTAATAACTATTAATAATTATTAATAAACCCACCCAAGGGACATGTGTACGTATTGTATGTAGCTCTCATTGTTCTTGTAATAATTGAGTTTGCATTCTTTTTCGTTGAACCAAAATCTAAAGGGTAGCTAAGGTTAAAAATTGTTTTCTCCATGTCATACAGTACATGTACATACCAGTATTTCTGTTGTCCTTTCTTAGTGGAATGAAGACCTTAGCAGAGAGTTTAAGAAAATTATTTTAATTAATTAATTAAGTGATAATAAGAATGTAATAAATAAATAAAATATGAATATTAGTTGTATATGTGCATACATGCAATGTCCCAGTATAATAAAAATATCTCCTAATTTATAATAATAACGGTCAATATCTACTTACGTCCTTTCTTATCTTTCTTCTCTTGCAAACTTAAATATCCAGTGAAGCTCAGTAGAAAGCCAGCTATTAACCATAAACCACAATGATAAAGAGAGGTGTATAAACAATGTATTTACACTCATAAAGTCCTTACTTTCTTGTCTCCGCACTTTGCCATTACCTACACAGAGACTACACCGAAAACAAACACTAGAAAGAAATCTACTGGCTACTGAGCTGAGTGGGCTGACAGCCTGACAGTGACATATGTATATGTGTAGGGTCAAGGTACACACCCACTTTGCATGCACATGTTATGAGTCACACCTCCATTGAGCCCCACCTGAAAATGTAAGCAGTAAACTGTGTACATATGTACATACAGGTTCTTGTTCATTGTTGGTTTTATTATTTTGTTTTTAGGCGTCTGCCATTAGATCTGAGATGAGGTTGTTGACAGCTTCTGTTGCTATGGAGGACAGTTAGTGGGAGGAAAGACTCAAAACTGGTACTGATTATTATTTTTTTTATTAAACAAAATAAAATAGATTTTAGAACAATTAATTTAATAATACATTAGTATTATTATTGTCATTAATTATTATTTTTATTTATGGAAGTGTTATTGCTGTTTTATTATTCATTATTATTTATTTACCTCTTTTCCTCTTGTTAGGTTGTTTTAAAAGTCCAGGTCACACTGTTATCAGTCATGGCTGCTGTGACTATGCCTTGCCCGAGCCTTGCCTTAAGATACTCCACTCTATTACTGTCCTAGATAAATAGGGATAATGGAGTATATTAATAGTTTAATTTTTTATCATTCTCTCCTCATTTTTGTTCATTCAGAGTCTACAAGGTGGTGTTGCCATACATACTAATGTTAGTTCGTGGCTTAAGAACAATCGAAACTTTTCTTTTGAGAAATGAAAGGAAACAGTACTGATAGAATGTAATTTATTTATTAATTTATTTATTGTATCTACTTTTTATTAGCTGCTAAGGAGAATAAACTGGCTTAAAAATATGCAAATATATGTAAGATGATCAGAGCCAAGAGTAAAATTGTGTGATATTTTATGACAATAACATGCCCCCCCTCTCTCTCTCTCAGCAGGTCCTCCATTGCCCATAAGTTTATTAAATCATACTAATTGGTTGAGGTTAATGTTATTTAATTGAAGTAGCTTTTTGGTGAGGACCATGGCGTATGGTCTGTTACTGTAGAGGAGTGAGGAGGAGACAGACACTGAATTTACTGAGCAGGTAATGCAGTATTGCAAATTAGACTTTAATTTTGGAGGCAACCATAATTAATCACCCCTCCCCCAATTTATATTATGTCCTTATAATCATGTTACACCATGGCACATGTATGTCTAAAGCTTTAGCTGATTCTAATTAGTATGCCTAGATTTATGCACATTTTAAAAGCAAAAAACTTTCTGAGGAAACACATACTTTAAACATCTCTCTTTCTCTCTCTAGTTTTCTTAATGAGGTAAGCAGTGCTGGTGAAGACTCAAAGGAATTAGGTATATTCACTGCACTAATGAAAGACCAAAATGGAAACTGGAAGAAATACTTGGCTAAGAGAGGAGTACTGTTACTGATAAGGGGGACTGATTGAAAAAGTAAATGAGATACCAAAGGTGTGTGGCATGCAATAATTTTAATGTGCATGCAGTGTACAAAGTGAAGTTTCTTTTCATCACTATAGCCTATTTTAATTATGTATGATGCTTCTACATGTACAATGTATGTGTACTATTTAGTGCTTTTAAGTACTTGTACAATGCCGTTTTAGTGAAGTTCTTTTTGCACTTGCCCACTTAGGATCCAGAATCATGATTCATAACCTACATGTAAGATAAAGTTCACTTTGATTGTAGTACAGCTAGTAAATAAACTGCATTAATTTGCCAGAGATATGAAAATACATGAATCAGACTTTGAGCCAAATACAAAGTACATGTATTTGTATTTTTATATACTGTACATTTAAATACTATTTTGTGTTTGCATTTGAAATACTGAAGCATGTATTAGACCCAAGTTTGATTAGAATCTATCCACTTCAAATCACGTGGAAGTAGATTGACCAAATCTAACTTTGATTTTGATAGAAGACAAGTGTAAACAAACTGATCTGCATGTAGTTTTAATCTTTAATTCTGGGTACAATTGAGTATGGAATAATGAGTAATAATTTCACTAGTCGAGTAAAAGCCTGAATATATCCTGCATTGAGATTATTATTTTATTTACAGAGAATGTACAATTTAAATTGAAGCTGTGTAGTAGAGGAAAAACTTGACTTTCATGTCTAATGTTAATAAAAATGTATGTATATATGTACACATGTATGTATGATACATACATGTACATGTACACTGTGTACATGTAGGTGGTAGTGGAAATAATATTAACTTAGGTGAACCCCTTACTTATGAGAATTTCTGTATGCATGTATGTATGTATACATTTGAGGGCATGACTAGGAGGTGTGGCCAGAAAGTGGAACCCCTCATTGTTTTACATTCACTATAGTTATGTATGAATGTACATATGAATTTATGTATACATACATGTACATGTACTTCTAACATGTACATGTACATGCGTATGTACATGTATGTGCATGTATTTTTGGTAAAGGAAAATTACTATAAAATATGTCAAAATTATGATGATAAAGGATAGTTTTTATTAGTAAAAGTCAAGTTTTTTAATCAGATTATATTAGATCTATTTTATTTTGTGTCCCATATATTAAAGGGTAAGATTCGTCTTTCTTACATTTCATGATTGTGTAATTATTAGATAAGACAATGCATGACAGCAGATGCTGTTGCAATCATGAAGTTGCTATTAGTGACTATATCATTACTTTTTGGTGAATCATGAATGTGAGCCACTTTTTGAATCCAGAAACTCTTGTACTAACCTATGCCTTGCACTACTACTGTAAGAGGTACACATGTACAATACAATGAACATGTACATGTATTGTTGGGTGGTGGGCTTTTAGTGTTGTCAGTACAGTAATAGAAAATAATATTCACCCTCACCTTGCCTTTGAATCTGTTAGTATACCATATAATTTGAAGTTTTACTTCTTTTTGTTTTTCTCTCTCATTGTTTTCCCCTTTCCTAACAGGCTCTATGCAGTACATGTATGTGTCTTCAATTGACCAGGAATCTAGACTCCAGCTGACAACAAAATGGTGTGTTAATAGAATAGAGAAATTGACAAGATAAGAAAGAGAGTGCAACAACTATACATTTTACTTGGTTGTGTACTTGTAGTGCGTGTCATGTACGTGTATTGTTGAGATTGTGTACATGTATGTACATGTATTGTAATACAACATGTAATCAAGTTATTTTTTAATAGAAAAATGAAAATATGAATGCATTATCAAGTTAATTGATATGCAAGCTACATGTACAGTACATGTACATGTATGATCAAGAGTATAGTATGATTGAAAGATGGGAGGTAAGCTTGTCATACATATACACAATATACCTGTATATTATCGTTCTTCCTCTTTTTATCTTCTGCTTTTCTTTTAGAGAGCTGGCACTCATACTCAGCGACAGAGCTTGTTAAAGGTACATAGTCCTGGTTGCTACTGTATAGCAAAAGATTTTGGCTATTCTATAATTGCAATGTTGTAGTGGTTTTTATACTGGCAAATTTGCAATTGAGCATGCTCAGAATAAGGCAATTTTTTGATGATTATTTTGTCACTAATCTTCCAATCACCAATTATTACAGATTTATCACCAATCTACCAATTTTTACTGCCATGTGGTACGTTGTACATACATGTATGTTTACGTAATAATTAGCTTAAATCACCCACCAAAATATAGGGTACTTTAATGTATCATGAAGGAGAAAAGAATTAATGTGAGTTTATTTGTAATTACATTTACATGTGTATCTATCGTATAGCACTTTATTTTGGCGGCGCTTTATTTCGGCAATTTTGCTGTAAAATTGTGATTGGCGATTATTTTTTAATTTGGCGATTTTTGTCTACATGTGCATTACTGAGCATGCGCATCAATGATTGGTAGTTTTAATATTGGCGATTCTGCTTGCAAATCGCCAATTGCCGAAATAAAACTCCGCCAAATTAAAGTGCTATACGGTATGTATTTTTTATTTATTCATTCATTTTTTATTTTAGCCATTCAAACAGAAAAAAAGGCACATTATGCTATTTAATAGATTATTGCTTTATTGCAAGATTGTAAGTTTACACTTTTAATTAGAAATATTTCATATTTTCAAAGGAAAGCTGCTATACACCAAAGTATAAATGCATGTATAAATTGATAGTCAAAATTAGTATAAAAAATAGGTACTATTTGACGTTGGTGATAGACATGGTAATGATGACAACTGTTGCTATGACAACAGCTCCTTTTTTGCAGATACAAAGTTTAATTTTGTGTTAAGAGAAGGAAATAGAAGTTACATGTTCAATGCTAGCTCACCTCTGGAAAAAAAGGACAATTCACTGCTAGTTAGATGGTACATGCATGTCTTGTTCATGTGATGCCTATGATCTGTTTCTCAATCCTTTCAGGCCATTTGAGAGAATACTTTATATCAGACTAAAAGAGGAAGAGAGAAGCATTCCATCACTTTTACCAGACCCAATCTATACCAATAGTACATGTAAGTATCACAGGGAGGGTGATTAGGATGGCATCTCACCTCCTTTTACATGTAAATTTGAACTAGCGTTTTTGTTTGCCTGTATTTTAGATGGTTTCTAATATTTTATGTGCATACAGGCTTACAACGTACTTGTAACCCCCTTTTGTAGCCCATACTTTGTAACCCAGACTGGCTATACACAGGCCTGCATGATGCATGTACTGTGTTGCAAGGCCCACAATTTTGTGAAAATCACAAAATCCTTTACCCTCGAAAGCTATACAGTATATTTCCAGTATTTCTATGATGCTACTGTTTACTTAATTGTCATACATTAAGTAATAATGTGTTTGAACCAGCTTCTACTTTATTGTTTGATATGCATGCATATAGCAATAGCTTCTTGATTGTCTTCATTAATTTGTCTAGTGTGCATGCAGGAGGGGTTTTACAAGTGTGGATTTTACATGTATGTTAATCCCAACTGTTGCTACATCTATGCAGTGCTCTTAATTACAGTCGGTCATCGGACAATTTCCGGTCAATATTATGTGTTATCCCATCAAATTTTATATGGTCGGTAAATATGTCCTAACACGTGGTCGCTAATTAATTATTATAAATTATTATTATTATAACAAAATGTCGAAACGTTCTTCTTCAAGCGCTTGCTCCTCTTCTTCTTCTTGTGACCCATCCAGCTGTACTTCTGATAGTAGCATCGACATACCTTCAAAGAAGAGAGCTGTAACCGTATCTACCGTTCAAAAGTGGATTCTGGACTACGATAAGACGCTTAATACATCAACTTGGCTCAAGTATGAAGAAATGGATCGCTATCATGTTAGTAGGCTAAGATGTTCTGTCTGTACAAGATTTAAGGACAAGATATCCTCATCAAGGAACTTTAGTGCTGCTTACATCGACGGAACGACCAATTTGCGCACCTCAAGCTTCAAAGATCACGCTAAAAGTGACATGCATGGACGAGCTATGATTTTACTAAGGAAAGAACACAGTACTGACATCAGAGAATATGCTCCCATTGCTAGAAGTCTATATAGTATGGATGAATCAGCTGAGAAAAAGATTTTAAGGAAGTTTGATATAGCCTACATGATAGCCAAAGAGGGCATGGCATTTGTCAAAATGAAGCCAATTTG